AAACCGCATTAAGAAAAGTGCATATTTGTAATGTATATTTGAGTGTAAAAGCATGTGCGGAGAGTAAAGAAACAGGGTTTTTGGAAGACAAACAAATTTGAAGTACGCTTTTGTTCTCCTAACATGGGAGAATGATATGATACGGCTTGTGATACGATTGATACGATTTGTTGGTCAGTGCCATTACAAGTGGTTACGGTCGATTACACCTTTAGTCAACGCCATACATATACACCACACACCATCGAAATGATTTTGTGCCACCCACGTTTTGGGAATTTTGCGCTCAAAATCCAGGTATGGGGAGTTCGTAGCTGCCAAATCGCTCTGCTCCACGCAGCCAAAGCCAAAACAGGCAGAATCGTCAATGAGTAAAAAAGAGGGATGCAAAACCCAACAACAGCACAAACAGCAGCAGCACAACAACAACAACATCACCGAACTTACAAGTTTTGCCCACCAGCTTCCTTCCATTTTCACCTCATCAAGAGATCCAGTGAAGAGTGCTGTTAATTGGAAAAGAGAGATACCCAATCTGCCTTCTCTTATCCATCTGAAAAGCTGAAGAATGAACGTCACGAAGGAGTAGCGGTTACATAAGTCAATACTGCCACCTTATGATATCCGATAGCATTATCCATCCGCATCCTATCGTTACAGTGGATATGTAAAGGAGAGCCGCGAGCAAGTCCAGTGATAGAAAGAGCGATGCTGCCTTGAAAAATCACAACCAAATTGATATTAGGTCCACTCATAGATTACACTTTTTATGTACATTCTAAGGTAGCGCCGTACTCTTTGTTTGAGAACCACTTTTTTTTCAAACAGATCACTCATGTTCTGAAAACGTCACAGAATATGAGCGGCTTGCAAAAATATGATCTACAAAAAATCTACTACACGTAAACTGTGGAAATTTCACGAAGATAATATATAAGCAAAACGACGTCAAGAGGACAAAAATGCTCACATTTCTCAAGGTTTCCTTAGGAATATTCGTGTCTATGACGTTCACCAATTGGGACTGCTTTGCAGGCGTTGCAGATGAGGTTGGCTCGATATCGTTGTCCTATATAGCTAAATGTTAAACAGCTCACAAATGATGAGCAATGAGTTTTCCACAGAGTTGGCCAAGAAATTCGTGAAAGATCCTCTTCAATATTCTAGAATGATTTTCATGAGAATAGCAAAAAAAAACATTCCGACCATTCAAAAATCCCCATGTTTATCCCATTATAAGCCTGTATAGCTAGAGACGGACCGAACAATTTTGAACTATTTGTTTCGTAACGTATACATGCAACTGGAATGGTCCAAAAAAGGTGAAATGGCTGCGACCCCCCCTGAACCCCTCCATTCAGGTTCAGGCGTCCAATCAGCAAATTTGCATTCTCAAAGAACTTTTGCCACTCAAACGCGGTTATCCACCACACCAGGAAGCGCCGGCATTCAACCTACAATTAGCAAATGATTCATGCAGCACACCCTGACTGACACACGATTTCCGAGAAGTATCAAGCGGCTGCATGCAAAATGGACTTGATGCGTTGTATTACCTTCGGTAATCAGGAAACCACATGTTCTGCATGCCAGGGACATTGCCCCGAAGGATGGGAAAGGACTACGTTGTCAGGAAGTAGCTGGTAAATTATATTCTCATATAACGAATGTTTTCGAACAAGAAAATGACTGAAATTAGTTCCAATCTCTGAAGTTGTCGGAGCTTAAAAACTTCAAGGTGACGGGCAAATGAAAGCTGCATAGAATAGAGGACGGTACTGACATTCAGTAGCGGTAGTTGAACACACAGTTGATGAGAACTGTTTCTTCACGGTTGAAGACCTTGAGTTGTGTCAATTTAACGTGAACTCACGTCTGAATACCTTGAATGCAATCTGCTGTCAGCAAAGTTTTTGGCCAACCGGAAGCTTCCACAATAAATAGGAGCAAGAAAGATTAAACAAAAAAGAAAGGCAATACACTGTGGGTTGCTCACGTGGGTTTCCTCTTCATCCGACTGCATTTTCTAAATTCTCGTTCAATGTATCACTCATGAGTAGCTCCCAAGCAGTGGTAGACTTTTCCAAAGCCTCTTTTCCAAGTTTCTTTTTCCGCAGTTTGCTCTCTTTTTTCTCTCGAGCACGATTGAATGCTCTGAAATCCATACCAATGAGAATGATATTCTTGAATGCATGAATTCTGGTACAGCTTACAGATTAGTGTTGAGGACTACAGCACGAAACATATGTTCTACTTCTTCGTATAACTTCGTATAATGTATGCAGAACCTGCAGGCTGGACAAATAAGCGCTGGTACGTGGCAGAACATGGCCCTATAACACAGGTTATAAAGAGAGGAGATGGCGCGCTAACATTCAAAAACCTATCAAAACGGAAAGAAGGGACAAATTACCAACACAGAAGCCACTGGGAACAGCTTGTTCTTGACTTATCATCGCAGCACCTTTCGCAAGTATTTTTGTAAACGTGGAGATCCTTCGGCCAATGGTCCGCAAATATGCAGGCGCATAGTTTCTACCAGTCGTGTAGTCTTTTCTGAATGATAAGTGATTAGGGTTGAAAAATAGATTATATGAAGCTCAACCCCTACGCTAGTTCAGAGCGGTTTGTAGATGTGGATGGCGTGGAACAATAACCTTCGAGCTTTTCACCCTTAAATCGATGTCAAATGAAAAATATGACAAACATGTTTCAAAACAGAGGGATATAGAAACTTACCTTGCGTCGCTTATGACCTGAAGATGTAGACAAATGTGGCCCTGAAGAACTCGTTTTCGATTTGTCGCGAACTTCATGAGATTTCTTTGTCTTAACCCTTGCAGAACCGGCAACAAGTCCCTCTTCGTCTGCCTCCACCTCTCGAAAATCCTGTATAACTATTGGCTCGTAACCATAACATATCACAGCGCTTGCGTGCAACACAAACGTTTGAAGCGGAAAATAAAAACATAATAAAGCTTATCAGGATGTTCTTTTGTTCTCAAATAAGGCCAGTTGTTGTGAGTGTTTATACTTTCCCAAACAAGTATGCTACCAATTAAACGTCTCCGGGAGGGATGGAGGCTTGATTGAGCTGGGCAGGGTAATCCATATATTTACGAGGAAAACCAACTAAATCCGGGATTTGACTCCCGGGGGGGGGGGCGTGGGAATTACGCCACTGCCACAAACGCACTATCCTCCCGCGGATAGTGTAAAGCCGGATTGAAACAAGAAAGTGCACTACCTCAGCTTCACCACATCACTTAACCCTCACACAACCTTGCTACCGACAAATCAAGAAGACGAAAAACTTGCTTTTCAAATTTTGCGGTGAATGGCTAGTAAGTAAAGAAAAAACAAACTCACAAATATTTGGGTCCCGCAAGACGCACAATACATCAAACCATCTAGAATTGTAGTCTGCGTGGAGCCACAAATGGAGCAAGAGCTCGACTTCATGAATATGATCCTAAAGCAGAGAAACTGTTTAAAATCATTCCAGACTGGTGTATCAGCCACGGTCAAAAGCGAATGAACTGATAAACAGATGCTCATGACTGGATGGCTTTCAATACCAGTACTGTGGAAGAGCCGCTTGAAGCACAACGTCTGAAATATGACATACTCTTCTGCCCCGCGACTTTGTTAAGCGTTCATGGGGATTACATAACGTATTCTCAACAGGCCTATTAAAGAAATGCTGAGGAACCAGGTTCCGTATATCCTTCCAAATGGCAACAGCAGGATGCTAGGATGAACCACAGGGTTTATTTCAATGAGGAGGAGCACTGCGATGTAGAAGTGCTCACATCCTCATTTCGCTGAAAGACTCCATGTGGTTCTCGGGTCTATTCCAGTTAGGGGGGGGGGGGCATCATGATGCAGTTTCTCGGCGAGCTAATGTAAACTCGAACATTCCAGCTTCTCACGCATGTCAAGTGACTGCCCTCTCACCCCCCACCCCCCTAGGCTGGCTACAC